GGCTTCGTCCCTCCTCGTGGTGTCCTTTCCCCTGAGGAGCGCGCGGCTATTCTGGGCCGGCGTGGGTGTTTGCGCTGCCGCTTGGACGGTCATCCTTGCGGTGCCCTTACACTACCGCCCTCAACCGCCACTACGCTGACCTTTCTCGTCAGCGTCGTGCTCAGTCCCCCCCCGGCGCCTCACGTCCCCGCGGTGCCTCCTAGCCACGGTGCAGTGGACACCTGCGCTCTCCTCAGTAGTGGGTTTCCCGACATCTCCGTCGCATTTCGCCCCTCTCGCTACTGGAGTTGAGGTATCGCAAGACTCGACAGAGTGTACTCAGCCCTCTGTTGCAATACCGTCTGCGCCTCCGCAGACCATCGTCTCCCCTCCTTCCCCGCCGCGACTACCGACGCGTCGAGCCATTCGCTCAGCCCGTTGCAGCGAGCAGCTTGCTACTCGCGAGGACCTTGTGTCCTCTCTTCTGGGCTTGAGCATGCTCCAGGCTCGTCAGGAACGACTCACCCTCCATGTTGCTGCACTGCGTCGCCTTTTTGCCATCCTCTCTGACCCTGATCGCACCCTCCCGATCATCCCCGTACGACTCGGGACCTCCACGAGGGTGTACTCAACGTTGTGGGATTCCGGTTCTCAGGGCGACTTCATTCACCCACGCGTGGTGAAGGAAGCCCGCTTACCTTCGACAGGGTCTCCGACTCCCATCTCCGTTACCCTAGGGATGACAAGACCCAGCGCTTCTTCGATCAGACGGTCACCGACCTCCCCTTCTTCCTCACTCTCGAGCCGACCGATCGTTCCCCGGCGTCTCGTCGCCACCGCTCCTCGGCACATTTCGATGTGATGAAGACGGGGTACGACTTCATTCTCGGCACTCCGTGGTCTCGTCGGTTCCGTAGCACCAAGGCTGATTGGGCGACCAACACTCTCGTTCTCAAATCGAAGTGTGGACAGACGTATCGCGTACCTTTCATAGGTACCACGGCGACACCACACCCCGATGCTCCTCCCCCGGAGCCTTTAGTGCCCACACCATCTGCCTATATCACTGTCACCTCGCCTCGGCAGTTCGCTCACTTCATTCGACAGGACGACGTCACCTTCTTTATAATGGACGTGACGGATCTCTTACACTATGATCCACCCTGCCCCGACGCCGAGCTCATCCCTCTGTAGCCAGATCCTCCCTCTATCTCCATGGCTCCCATCTCTAGCTCCGTCCCTCCACCGTCCGTCGAGTCCACCCCGCCGTCGCGCGCTGACGCTGACGCTGAGGAACTCGCACGATATACGGCTGACTTGGAGCCCGCAGTTCGTGACCTCATCCGAGAGTACCACGCCGTTTTCCCATCGTCGTTATCGTACGCCGGCATCCCACCGATGCATGACGCTGAGCACTCCATTCAGCCCGTGCCTGACTATCGTGTTCACCACCAGGCACCCTACAGGCTCTCGATCCCCGAGGCCACCAAACTCAAGCGTAAGCTCGAGGAGCTCCTGAGACTGGGTTTCATTAAACCCAGCAACTCCCCTTGGGGTGCACCCGTCCTCTTTGCTCGCAAAGCAGACGGAACTCTCCGTCTCTGCATCGATTATCGCGGTCTCAACCGCTACACGGTTAAGAATAGCTACCCCATGCCTCGTTCCGATGAGCTGTTCGACCGCCTAGCAGGCAACCGCTTCGTTACGAAGATTGATCTTCGTAGCGGTTACCATCAGATCCGCGTCGCTGCAGCCGACCAGCCGAAGACAGCGTTCCGATCGCGCTTCGGCCACTACGAGTTTACAGTGATGTCATTTGGCCTCACCAATGCACCCGCTACCTTTCAGAGGGCGATGAACGACATCTTCAGGGACATCCTGGAACAGTACGTTCTCGTCTACCTCGATGACATCCTGGTCTACAGTCAAACCCTTGAGGAGCACCTCAAACACTTCCGCGACGTCCTTGACCGCTTGCGCAGACATGGCTTCTACGCCAAGCTGAGCAAGTGCCGCTTTGCCCAGCACAGAATGGATTTCTTAGGACACTACGTGTCTGACCAGGGTCTCCACATGGACGACGCGAAGATCACTGCTATTGCGGAGTGGCCCGCTCCCACATCCGCCAAGCAGCTTCGCAGCTTCCTAGGCCTGACCAGCTACTATAGTAACTTCATCCGGGGGTACGCTAGGTATTCCTACGTTCTTACCTCCACCCTCCTCAGGAAGAACCCACCCTGGGCTTGGACACCCCTCCACGAGGACGCCTTCCACGCCCTCAAGAAGACGGTGACATGCGCACCGGTGCTTCACCTATCCGATTTTGATCGCCCTTTTATCCTTACCACCGATGCGTCAGACTTTGCTGTAGGAGCA